ACATTTTTTGTTTTCATTTTACAATACAATCAACACTAAGTCTAGTAAAAATACAAAGTCTAGTAATAAAATGAAATAATTTCAATAATAAAACATGCAATTTTTGATCACCAAATTTTAATGCCCACTGAATTATATTTGTTTGAAAGCACCGAAAAACAGAATCCTCTCAACTTTGATTACTTTATTCCCTCAAACATAGTTTCTGTATGTCATAAATTCTATCTTAACCTATCTGATCTCAAATTCAATCTGATTATCTTGATTTGAAAAGATGAATAAAATTCACAACTTACACTTATATGTGTCCGAGGATAAAATCTTCATAAGATTCTTTTAAATATATGCAGAACTTATTACTTGGAAATCAATGAATTATTCTTGATTTATTCTTTAATTTTTCTATAAGGGAAATTTCAATTCTGTTTTCATTGCCGGAAAAGTACTTTATGATGATAAATGTCAGAGATGAAAATTTTAAAATGTCAGAGATGAAAACTACAAAATGTAGGGAATGAAATGAACAACATTTAAAAAAAATTCCGGAAATGAAATCCTATGCTAGGCTCATTTTCCAAAAGGGGGAGGGGTCTTTAAACCCAAACTCGTTTTTCCGGGAAAAAATATTAATGCGGGCGGGAGGAAAGTCTACAACATCAGTACTATTTAAACTATTTGACATGTTTCAGCATAATTTTGCTATACCCCACCCACCAAAAAAAAAAAAAAAAAAACAAGACCATTTATAATCTTTTCCTTTTTTTTGGGGGGGGGGGGGGTGAGGGGGGGTGTTTTATTGCTTAAAATGTTCAACTCGATTGACTTAGGTGTGATTTTGCCAATTAATGCACATCTTCCTTCACCAGTGTTAACCCCGGGGTAATATCGAGCAGGAATGATATAATCTTTAGTCTTTAACTGGATAAGAAACGATGGTTATAAAAACTCATGGGATATGCGACTTCAAGTTTCGTCAAGTGAGACAATAGGCCTACCCCCAATGCACAGACATGTTGTTTTAACAACAACGGGGTATAGGCTAGTACACCGTAACACAAGTCCCTGTTACAGTGACCCTCCAATTATTTCATAGTTAAGTTCAATATGAATCGTAAGAATTATGCATAATTATTATTAATAATATAATGAAATATCTTTCGAAAGATATGAAAAATCTTTTTGGGAAGTGTAAGTCGAAACTTCAAAGTTGTTAGGAAAGAGACTGTAATGAAATGATCATTGTTGGACTTACGAACACTATATACTGAACAATGTGCCAGTGAAGGTATGCGTATTATATATCTGTATTTTTTTTTTTATTTTGCAATGATAAATTTGATATCACTTAAACTATAAAAGACACATGTCGTACATGATTTTCCCATGAGGTAACTCGATCAACAGATCTTTGCATCTTTATATTTTTTGTTTTGTGCACTACCTGGGAGGTATGTACTACGATAAGGAGCAAACAGTTAATCAGTGCTAACATCAAATTTTGAATAATTTTTTGATAGATATTTTGAGGTTTTGTACTGAAATATATCAGAGTATTAGAAATATAATTAATTAAAATTGATTAACGAAATCCAGCAACTAGCGAGATATCGCGAGACTTGATCCTGTTAGTATACATGTATATACAATGTACATACATGTACGTCCCTGGAACTCCATTTTGCTGGGAGGAACTATACCTTAAATAATTTAAAAAGATTAATAAAGCTTATTAATTTCGAATCAATAAAGGAGAAAAATCTGCATATTAAACTGAAGGCGGACCTTTTATTATAGAGGCAAGCCGGACCTTATATGTTATCGTATTAGGTCCCCCCGGACCTTTAAACGAGGCGGACCAAATATTATGCGACACCGGACAACTTAATCGCACAACTGGACAGCCATTCTAGCACTGTCCACTTCAGATACCAGGTAAGTTTTTTGCATATCAGCATTTGCAGAATATGTCATTCTTAAAATCTGCCTTATTGGTTTATTGTCAATTATCAATTAATTTCCCTCGTATTATGAAGGTATAGGTAACTCTATCAAGGTATAACATGGGTTTACTGTGTTAATTGTAAAGTAAGTGTCAATGGATTAGTTATTATAGTTTAATACAGTTAGAATTTATTGAATTTTTGACATTTGGTAAGTATCACTTTTATTCGGTTAAATCATTTTTTAAAACAATTAAAATATCAATTTCGGGGATCAATAATTAGTGAAAGAAATCGAGAGTTTACATGACTCTGCATGAATAATTTCCAATACAATTTCTTTTGTTTGATATACAAATATTGAAAAACCGATACGTGCTCCAATTCACTCGCTTAATATATGTCCCATAAAAACTTACGGATGTTTAGAATAGCCGGAGGTTTGTCTATATACTTTTATACCATGATGGAAAGTATACTTTTATACCATGATGGAATGTACAATCTTATATGGAAGTACCTGTACTTAATTATTTCTCAGCAGTTTATCCCGGATGAGTAAGCAGTGTTGAGTACACATGTAACTGCCAGGTTGTTGAAAAGCAATATAATAGTATATGAGTGTTTGTGTGTGAGGGGGGGGGGGGTCTTTTTATCAAACATCCCACTAAAGGATATGCTGCTGAGAATAGATCTAGGCAACCTTCTCTGCTTTAGATTATATAACTGAATATGTCATTAGGTTTCTTGTTTTCTGTTTAATTTATGAAGTCGTTAAAAAATTAATTCAATAAATAATAATTCTAAAATCAAACTCTCATATGATTGTATTTGATAAACACTCTTAGTGAATTCGAAATTTTAGGGGCAGAATATAGATTTTTGATAATTTTTTTTTCATCGGCAGCTAAAACGGGAGGGGGTCGGATGCTTCGATGACTGAAACAAAATAATGAAAAATAAAAACTAGTAGTGCATACGAAGATGGAGTAAAAACAATCCTAAATGTATATTTATTCTCCAACCTTTTGGTTATTAACCAAAAAGAATTTTGAAATTATTATTTCATTGCTCAGCACTTCATTAAAAACCTTTAATCTTCGAGGAATTGTGCATAAATTCGTACATGAAGTGACAATGAATACAGGCATTATACTAGAACCAATGATAACAGTAACACGCGTTAATGATTTTCACAATCAGTGCTTAGTACACCTGGTACTTGTGTCACCTGCTATGTCGTGTTGTACTCTGTGACGAGTGTCCTAATCACGAATCAAAATTTATTCAGATTTAATTAATTCCTCAAAGTTTTAAAAACAACAGAATAGTTTCTGGCTTTCTACATTCCAAATGTACTGTTTCCATTTTCAAATAGAGATAAATACGAGTAGTTATAAAAGACCACATTAAAAAAGAATTATTGTAAAACGTGAAGAAAACGAACAGTGATCAACGTAATAAATCCAGTAAAGTATACGAATCGTGAACAGGCTAAAACAACAGAAATATAGAGTTCCGGAAACATCAAAGGCCCTCTCTATAGATCAGGTTAATCTATATTCAAAATGGTATGAAAACCTCACAATTGTTGTGAAACATTCAGTCAAAATAAGATCTAACAATAGGTTGTATTTGCACACAAGGTCATTATAACGACCATAGAATTTGCAAAATACTGACTTTAAACCCTGTAACATAAACTAATTTGTCATTAGTCTGTCTCTGTTTAACAATTGATTGTGCTCAGAATATGCTCATGAGTATCGAATGGGAGAAATGAACACCATTTGCAGGTGATTGTTAAATATAACTATAAGCTGACGATGGAAAAACTGAAGTCATCCATGCAGTTTGTCATAAAGTTAGGTTGTTGTTGGCCATTATGTCTATAGTAAATTAAATACCCAAGTATAAAGCAGATGTAGCAGACTCTGCAGTGTCCTTTATTCACGTTCATTGTGATATATCGAGTTGAAATATAAATGAAAAATAACTATTGTAAAATGATAATGCGTCGTCAATATATCGAAATGTTGCATTGAAATCCACAGTAACAGTTTTCTTCTTCTCATGTAGAAGTTTTTGAATACATTCTTTATCATAAGAATATATATAACTTATATTTAAAAAAAACAGGTTGCCTAATATAACGGAATACGATTAGTGCCCATCAGAATTCAAACTGATTGTTGTAAAACCTGGGCCCAAGACCATAAACTGAGAATAGACTTAAGTCAAAATTTTGATTTTTAATATCTTGCGTTTTATTTAATGTATTTGCTTAAAGATTTGCAATTTTATATATCATTTAACTTCAATTATATGATGAAAATTTTGTTTCATTCTCAAAATTATTTAAAAATTATATTGGTTTGAAATTTTGACTTAAGTCTGTTCTCAGTTTATGGTCTTGGGGCCTGGTCTCCAAAGACTAGGAAGGACTGATTAAAACTTTTTTTTCACCATTATTCAAATAAAAATAAAATGCTGCTATAAATCTAAGAAACATAGGTAGCATGTGCGGATCTAGAGGGGAGGGGGGGGGGTCTGGAATTTACAGGGAAATGGATTTTACGATTTGTTTGTTTGTTTGTTTGTTTGTTTTTTTTTTTTTGTCAAGAAAATTCTGGGTTGGAATTTTTTTTTTGACTGGGGTTGACCCCCCTGGAAAAAATTCCTGAATCCGCGCCTAGGTAGTGACTGTTCCTTTGCCAAACGTCCGGCACGTAGAAGTGCCGTAGAAGTGAAAGTCACGGGCGATTCGGATGAGACCTTCTGTCAAGGTAGGCGTTGACACGATAAGGAACCCTCACTGCTCAATAGCCTTGAGTGCCAAGTATAGGTTTAAATTTGAAGCTCTATGGTGACGTCTCTATATGAGTGGTAAATTCTAGAATGGGACGTAAAACAACATACAATCAATCAACACACAATTAATATCGATATGTCAATATAGTGTTTCTATTAAAGATTTTTGAAAGTGATGCTTTGAGCAAAAAATCTTCACCTTATTGTTTCATTGCAGCACTATGTCAAAGACGTTTGTTAGATGCCTGGCTTTTGGAATAGGGATTCTTTTACTGCTCGTAATGTTTTACTCATCAAGAACACAACCGCCGGACACGCAAACTGGACTGTCTTCACAAGAATCATATAAAACTTTACAGACGTCTAACACGGAAGTGACGTTATGGTCACATGATCTTATTTCCTGGAAGCAGAATACAACACTGTGTGATCATCCTAAGGTTGATAGATCCTCAGTTTTAAACACGCCCTCTGGAGCGGTCGGTATTTCTGTATACGACCCCAAAAAGGATATATGGGTGTCAAAAAGAATAGTGGAAACCGGTGATTTTGACGGCCGCAAAAGACAACTAGTGTTCGAATTAATAAACAACGATGAAAAGGATGTTAACTTTATAGATATTGGATGTAATGTAGGTGTGTATTCGTTAACAATGGCTAAGATGGGAAGAAAGGTTCTGTGTATTGATGCTTTATATCTAAATGTAAAACACGTGTGTGCCTCAATAATTCAAAATAATTTTCAAAAGTCTATCACGATAGTGATGAATGCTTTGTCAAATAACAGGAAGTATGTGGAATTAGGAATAGATAGTAGAAACTATGGCGGTACCTTTGTTGATGAGGACGCTGATTTTGTGAAGAGGAAGAAAGGAGGGACGGCCACAGGAGAGCATTATACAAGCATTTCATCTATTGTTATGGACGACTTATTACTATTACCAAGTATTAATATGTTCAGAAAATCTTTTATCAAAATGGATATAGAAGGGTTTGAATGGAAGGCTCTTGAAAGAGCTTCTGCCTTTTTTAAAGCTATTGACGTCCGGGGTGTTTTCATTGAATGGATATTCCATCGAGGAAAAGAATCAGGGGAAAAAATAACAGAGTTTTTGATTCAGCATAATTTATATCCTCATGCTCAAGTCTCTCCGACGACTTATCGACCTCTAGATATAACTAAAAAAGGGAATTGGAATTTCATGGATATATTGTGGCTTAAACGATAGGGAATTGGAATTTCATGGATATGTTGTGGCTTAAACGATAGGGAATTGGAATTTTATGGATATATTGTGGCTTAAACGATAGTAACCTTATAAAAATGAATTGTAAAGATGGTATATCAGTCCTTGAATAGACATAATGTTGAGGTGAAATTTCTATGGCTCTAACTTGTGTACATATATACACTGTACATACATATGAGGGATAATTTATTTTCAATAGTGCAATACTCTAGACTTTAAGCAAGTCTAATATCGTTTTAATGTTCAACATCAGTAAAAAATAAACCATAAGTAGTTTTAAGTGTACATTATCTGATAATGAATGTACAGCTGGACAGAGTTTAAATAATCTAATCTGAGTTTAATACAATATACATGTATATTTCAGCAGCAGGGTACTAAATGATGCGATGATGATGAAATCAATAATCGAAATAGCAATGGTGTATGTGTTTGTCCTTTTTAAAAATTATTTACACAGTATAATTGATAATCGTATTTCATTGTATTCCAGTTTGAAATATTAATTAAGGTTTATTTATATGGTAAATGTCCTATGTGTATGTCTCATGTTCTCCTGTGTTTAATCATCCTGTTACAATAAAAGATCATTTTCATTTATGAACGGTATTATGTGTAATATTTAAATGGAGCGCAACCATCAGTGTTCAGACTGCACTTTAAATGTATTTAAATCGCTTTGTGGATACAATTTATTAATGAGAACTAAAAAACAATTTAGATATAATTCTTATTTTTTGTCCAGACCTCTGTGTATAAATATCAATCTATTGATAAGGAATACGAGTTTGTGCACTAATAGGGGTTCAATTCTGTGCGCAATATGAGGTGAACAATTAGAAATACAAGTAAAATATTGTTAATCTTTATAGAAGGATAAAAAACATTTTGTATCCCAAATTGAAATACTGATTGATATTAAACGTGACATTTATTATCAGTTACACAGTTATGTTAATACAAATCAATCTTATTGTAGGTCTATCTGTATTCACTTTCAATTTGATGTATGTTTAAGTTGAAGTAATACATTTCAAGATCTTATAAATGGTTTTCGAGCGATTCCTAAACCACCCTCAATATGCGAGGTAAAAGTTCACTTGGATATTTTCATTATGTTGAAAGCAATTACATTATTTTCAAACATTTTGGAATTTATTATCAATAATAATGATAAGTTTTTATAATTTTAATCTCTGGAGTATCTCATTAATATCTTTCTGGTAAATCTCTATAAGATGACCAATGCCCACACATAAGAGATCTCCATATTCCATCACATTTCTTCATCAAGCCTCTAGTATAACTAGTCATGAGTACTTTTTCAAGGGGTGAATCTGAGAGTCATTTCATAAAAAGAAAACGTGTTTATGTAGTGACTTTGTTAAAAAGCCATCAAAACTGGAATATACCTCATTCATGTTTGTAGATTTGAAAACCTCTGCACTCCAATTAGCATTGAAAAAAATAATATAAAGACCTTGGTAAAACATTTGGCCGTGATCTCTTTTTCTCCTTTGAAAGCATATTGGATTAAGATTTAAAATTCAATGTCAATTACATAAGAATGTTTGATGACGCTCTAAAAAAATGTATTTCAGTTTTTAAAATTGACGAACGTATGAGTGTGTTCAGAAACTGTTCTCCCGAAATATTTCTTTGAAGTCCATTTTCGCTTCATGAAAATTAGGACTTGGTAAAATATCTAGAAAAGCTTTTAAAACTGAAATAAATTACATATATTTTTTTAAGTTTGTCAGATATACAGATTGTGTTTTAGTCTATATAAGTTAAAGAATCACAAAACACGTAATTGGAATCCAACGAAGAAGATCTTCATAAAAAAAGCCATCAGAAAAGTAGGTAAAAGGAAGTACTCTTGCTTCTGGAAAAGTGGTAGAGAAGTAAACATTGTGTTCTACTGAATTTACGATGGTTAACATTTCTTCACTAAGAATGTATACAAATTAACATTGTTTCAGTAAAAATTTTAAATAAATTTCATTTTACAATTCTGAATGGGTTCTTACGAGGGATATATATGTTTTCCTATTACTCAATCTGAGTTAATGATTGGAATGATTATTTAGACTGCACTGCTCTGTTTGAGGGTAAAACACATTACTAAACTTTTTCTCTTTTCTAGAGACGGGGAATGGGTAAGGTACTACTTGCACCGCGTTTCTTCCCTAATTTCCTATTGATAGAGAAAAACCGACAAAATGTTTACCGGATAACTTGATTAGTTAGTATTTACATTTCCAATGTCTTTGTCCGAGATAAAATTTCAAATAGTAAAAAAACTTTATTTCTACGTAAATCTACTGGTTCATCGAAAGGCGTGGTGAAAAAAAAAACACGTGCGGGGCGGGAAAAATAGAGACAGAAGTGGGGCTTGTAGGACGTGAATTTGCAGAATCAACAGCATGTAAATATAAGGAATAACTGTCAGATTTTTTGGTTTCATGACGATGATCAATCGATTGGCTTGCGTGATAATTTTATGCATAAACGCCTTCGGCGTTTATGCAAATTATCACGCAAGCCAATCGATTGATCACATCATGAAACCAAAAAAATAGACAGTTATTCCTTACATACTTTCGCAAAACTTGTGAAAATTATGGCCCCTGGGTCCAGTGTTCAGGCCCCAGAGTATGGCAAATTTGGTCGTATATTGAAAATAAATTGCATCTTTGAAAATCAGGTGGGCAAATTGATTATATATAATCACAACGAATAACCTTTTGTCAAAATTGTAAAACAGGTCCCAGGGTGGGGCTAAATTGGTAATGCATTGAAAATTCATTACACCTTTAACATTCTTCTTGACTTATGGACACATCTAGCAGACAAACTGTTTGCATGACTTAAATCAACAAACTTAGCCCTCTTCCAAAATTTTAAATCCATGCCCCCCCCCCCCTCCCGGCTCATATCACAAGGAACTTCTTAATTGTTAAATCGAAACTGCATTAGTCTTCTTCATTACTAGCAGGTAGCATTTTTGTAATAAGCAGATAGCCCTCTGCAAAATAATAAAATTCATAGGGTCCAGGCAGGGATAAGGCCCCATGGTGGGGATGAGCTGGTCATATGTTTATTATACAGCGAATCATATTCTTTTCTCCTGAACTTATAGGACAAGCCGCATGAGTATATTTGTTAATAGTACGAGCATGCATATGGTTAACTTCAATGAATAAAAACTGAATGGTTCTAAAGATGATTATAAATCACGTATATAGAATCCTTCATGAGGAAAATAAGTGTGAAGTCAAGTATGTCTTAAGTGGAGTCATTAAGACGGTATTTCAATTGTGCAATAAGAGATAAAAAATTTGGCTTCGAAAAAATTGAACATTCCGCTTCAACACAACATGCATTATAATTGGATTGATTTTCTGAACTGCTGTCATTGAGTGAAATGTGATTGCAAAAATTACACTTTTCCATCACTCATTCTAGATTTCTCTTAGTATTTCATTGGTCAAACATTGCTGTGAAACTTTGATAAACAGGTTCAGTATTTGACAATTTTAATACAATAAAATAACCATAATAAGAAGTTTGAATACATGAGGAGAGAAGAAAATAAAATTGAATATTTATAAAAACATTTCATAAAAAAAAGTCAGGAATGCTAAATTACCTTGTAAAAAAAATCAACAACATATATCACATTAATATCAATCATTAACAATGACAACAAATGAAAAAAAATAATTATAAATTTAAGACGCTGTCAGCTCAAAGGCCGATCACATAATGGAACAGAACGAGGAGTTGCTCCCTGACTGCGGGTTCGGTTTTCTCTCCGGTGTTGGTGAGACCCGTTTGATTTGGATTCGCTCGGGCTCCCTGTTTTCTTCTGGTAGTGTTTGGGATTTTCTACTTGGATCAAAATTGTCAGACACGCCATTAATAAAGTATGTATCCATGATGCCTTTCCCCTTTACGTCAAGTCCGCCACGTCTCTCTAAGATGTAGCCTACCTCCCGAATTTCTCTGTAAGGAAAATGTTTTATTATGTGTATCCTGCTACAGACAATAATTTAAAGAGTATTTAATAAAAGTATTAGTGGAATTAATAAGATTGACGTTCAAATTGCAGTCTTTGATTTGTTTTGTTTCGAAGGTCTTGGTCCCCAATTACGTACATGTATTTACATATTTTGTTAGAAGTAATGGAGAAATCAACTTATTATCAAGCAGTGATTGGTTAATAATTACTCTCTCACCTATGCGTAGTGTTACTGATATGAACACGCCCCGGAAGTCCGTGACTTTCCATGCGCGAGGCTGTGTTCACTGTGTCACCAAATAGACAGTATCTGGGCATCTTAGTCCCGACAACTCCCGAAACCACAGGACCAGTATGTATTCCCACGCGAATCTGTAAAAGAATATTGATACATCCGTTGTTCTTTCGATTCCCATGGACACCATTATTTAATCATCAAAGATTGATATACTAAATATTATTCCAGTTATTCCCTCGCAACAAGGTTACATGTGAATATAACATCTGTAACTTTTCTGTATTTGTTTGTTCCGTAAAGGAAATGATGTGAACACGATATACATGTATATGGAATACTATTACAGAAGTGGTAGAAGGTCAAATTAAAGTTTCTTCCTGCCAATATCATGGCACGAGTTTTATAGTACATTTCCCTTTTTCATTTCAAAGTTGCTAAAAGATGATACATTTTAGTGACCAAATGAAATTTGTTTGATGAGATGAAGTCAAAGGTTAACATGAGTTTTAATAGATATGGAGTGATGTGAAGATAACAAACATCACGCTTAAAAGGCCATTAAAATTACAAATTGGGATCCAAGCAACCACAGAGCTCTAAAAATATCAGAGGTGGGATCAGGTGCCATGGAGGAGTAAGCATCTCCTATCGAAAAGCCACAACCGCAGTGAGCCCCCTGTCATGATCGGGTTAACGGAGAAATCCATTTAATTATGAAATTAATGGCCTAACAATTGTATAAAAAGCTTCATTCAATATATTCGACCTAACGACAGATTATAGTTGCAAACTTTGAACTGACCGTTGTTGACTTTAAGGACATACGCAATGTAGTTTGAACTTTATTGTCTTTTCCCCTGGAGTTGAAGAGTTCCAATTTTTAAAGGAACTGTGTGCTACATTTTAATGTCTATATATGCTGTTGTACAATTCTTCTAAAACAAGTTTGGATAAACAAAACATCTAGAATATATGTTTAGTAATTTTTGTATATTTTTCTTTGAATTATACATGAATTTTAATTAATTGATATCTTTTCAAAACCCCTGGTAATGCATGCTGATTTTTTGTCTATGAACATCTGATGGCACTATAATCTTAAAGTAAGAATATCTTGAAAAATTATCAGTAGGTAAGGTACGTTGCGTATGTCCTTAAACGTAATTGTTGAGATCCTTGTATCATCAACTTATTTATGGAAACGACTGTCGTTACATGACCTTATTGGCTACAGAGGTAGCAGGCGTTGCTTTCCACCATAGTTGTGGAAATGGTAAAAAAGAGTACCAAATGACAATTTAGTCTCAAATTTGTCGCAGACGAGGAAGTAATTAAGTTAACAAACCATACCACAGTTCTTTAAATACAGAGTAGTTATTGCCAATATCAATATCGAAGTTGCTTTACCACAAAAGTCCACAGCAGGTACAATTTGAGCTTCAATGCAATGTGTATTTTCAAGGTTTAACTTCATTTTCTTAAGTCCATTCTTTATTTTACTTATACATTTCAAAGACTTTCATGTCCACCGGCTTTAACTAGATGGTACTTTGAAATTGAATCAATTTTAAAGAAAAAGGTAGAGTCCTGGGATACCTTGATACATAACTTTTTTAGAGCACAATCAAGCTTTGAGAATATAAATGGTCAAACCAAATCCTATTTTAACAAAAATGTCATCAAGATTATTTGTTAAGGTCCCTTAGATATACAATTCTGTTAAAAACGTCCATACTTTAAGATTGTGGTTTCCAATCCCCGTGCAAGCAAATCATGTACATTCAAAAATGGACAAAAGGCACTGTTCAGAATAATATTATACACTGTAACCATGCAATGTTGAACAATTTTACAATCATATAATCTGAACATCATTGGGTTGGGACTTAATAAGAGTCCTAACTCAAATAAGCTTAGTACATATTACCTGGATAGATTTATTTGTGACAGGATTGATCACGTGACTAGTTTGTTGAATCATATCGAGGCCCATATTGGCTATCCTGATGGCGTGATCGTCTGTAGCTTCTGGGACTCCAGACACTACCATGTAAGCATCACCGATTGTCTCTACCTATGTTGAAAATGTTCATTTTATGAATATCATTTAAGTTGGTATGTTTGAAATCAAAATAACAACAAACAATTGTAAGGAGATGTTCCATTCCAAGTAAGTGTATGAAAAAGGGTGAGTGTTGTTGGGTGTGTGATAGAGGGCATATTTATGTATGTCTATTAATGGATACTAAGCTCCTGTTCACAATAATCATATAATAAGACGTTTTACACACTAGAAGTGCTTACTTTGTATATATCGTGTTTTGTTGTTAGCTCGTCAAACCGTTGGAACAAATCATTAAGAAGTTCCACGATATCCATTGGATGACACAGGGCCGCCATGTTTGTAAAGGTGACAATGTCACTAAATAGGATGGTGACATTCTCATGCTTTTCTGAAGTGGAAAAACATCATTCATTGGGGGGAAAAATAAACTTGTAATAAATATAACATATTAATCGGATGAAATTATTTCTATCATATTAAGTTAAAAGAATAAATAAGATTGCTGACTTTTTTTTTTTTAGATTTCTTATACATGTAATGTCAAAATTGGAACAAAAAATTGCTACAAGTATGTGTCGCTTTTCACTTTAATTTTCAAAGAAATCACAAATAAAAATAATTTATAAAGGAAAAAAAATTAAAAGGTTGTTCAAAACATGTCTAAAAACTATAATATACCAAGGTCTAACACACATGAATTTGATTTTTATCGATAAAATTACATGTATAACAAAAACAATATCATTCAGGAAGTAAATCGTCTAAAAACCCTTCACTGGTTTTCAATAACATGTACCTGCTTGCACATTCCTGCCATCTCTCAGCTGGTTAGCAACTTTAACCGGAAGCATCTGATACAGCAATGTGTCAGTTTTCTTTTTCTCTTGATCTAGAGCTGCCGCCAGCTTTTTCATTGCCGCGGTTGTTTCGTCAAGTTTCTTACTACGTAAAGAAATAATAAATGTATCTTTTTGAAAAAGAAAAAGTATTTTGGTTTAACGAAATCAGTGCACAAAAGCTTAATTTTTAGTTACTGGAAGAGTTATTTCTACCTCATTTCGACGTCAGCTCGTCTTTGTTCGTTCATAAACATGATTTCCATGGTCATATTGTCTTGGGGAATGTTTGTCAGATAGCTATTAGAAGAAATCAGGTCTCCTAGGCTGTCAAAGTGTGGACTTCCGATAAACATGATCTCTTCTTTGTCCTCCAGAGGTACCATATGACCTATAGTTGAAGAAAAAGTAATGGCGTGAGAAAACTCATTTTCTTAATCCTGGGACATCGAAAAATACACAAGATGAAGAAGGTGAAATAACTGAAATAACCAATATATATATATATATATATATATATATATATATATATATATATATATATATATATATATATATATAAACCTTAAGAGAATACTTTGTTCCTCCCAATTCGCTGACCATAATTATACAGTGTCAAAGTGTACGGACCCTCGATGCAGCACATGTGACTACATTACAGAAGGGACGAGTTATAATTTTAACAGGCGTGAATTTAAAGTTAATGCCAACATGTCATGTGATACGAAAGATGTCATATACGCCATCACATGTCCTGGATGCAAAGAATATTATATTGGTGAAACTGGCAACAGTCTCCGTGCCCGTGTACGTGTACATAAGCAACACATAAGTACACCTGAATATAGACAAATCCAGTTAAGTGCACACCTGGAAACTTGCGGAAAAAAACGATTTAACATTTTCCCTTTTTATAAACTCAGATGTGCCAGTGATATCCAGAGACGGGAAAAAGAAATACATATATATATATATATATATATATATATATATATATATATATATATATATATATATATATATATATATATGGTAGGGTTCCTTAAATAACATACAGATGTAGCAACAACTGCTATTTGGAAGGCAAACGAAGTTAAGATAACGAATGTAGTTTTTGTAAAGGAAATGTTAGAAATATTACTGATAGCTTCGAAAAAATTATTTGTGGACTTCTAAATTATGCCAACTACAAAATATCAATGATTGGTATACAAGAATTGAGAGTCATCCGCAAGAACAGTTTTTGCCAATTGCAACTTATTGTGCTCTCAAAAGAGTTCTTCCGAATTTGTTTGTGAAGATCCAAGAAGTCTGAGATTTTACATATATAGATGATCTATTAAGAATACACACACTCAAACTTAATATGATTTTAGCCAAATTTGAAGTTTTATTGATTAGCAGATTGTGGAGAAGTTCTTTGTATCTTGCAGTTGATTTCGAGATGCATCAAATTGTTCAATAACCATGGTTATAGGCCAGGGCACACCCTGAATCTGTTAAGACCATGCAGTAGAAATGAAAAAAAGGTCTCCATGCTCTTGCCTTGGATGTTCATTTCCTCTAAATATGTCTTACTATTTAACAATCCATGCAATTGTAAGTGTTCAATATATGTATAAGCTTTCACTTGGTATAAATCATATCTTTCAGGTTAGAAGAATATGCCCTATATTTTTAGTGTTTTTATGTTATGCTACATTAAACAAAATATTGTTGAAGCTTTGATTTCAACCTGAAAACAATGAACATAACAAAATGTCTGTAAATTACCTCTTAAAATGGGGTAGTCTGATTTAAGTGATATTAATGTACAAGACAAAGATGCCTGTAATTTACCTCTTAAAATGGGGCAGTCTGACTTAGGTGGTGTTCCGTTGCGATTCTTAACTTTTGGTTGTAGAAAGAAATACATATAAGAACTGTTACAGCCCATGATGGCGTTATATTCAAATTTCATTTCCGGTTCTTTAATGTCAAATATGTCATTGATTTTTGATTGTTCTTGTTGAATTTCCGGACAGAGAGTCTTCAAATGAAGTCCTGCACTTTGGATGAACATATTCTTATCAAAAACAACACTAAAAGGCAAAGCTGTATTCAGACTTAATTCAGGAACAGCAACCACATAATTTTCTCGAGCATGCGCAAGTTGTTGAAGTTTGCTTTGCACGTGGTTAGTCATAAGTTGGTCCTCTCCTGTAATGGCTGCCATTTTTTGTTCTTCTAGGACTTTGACCTCCGTAATAACGTGCTCACAATATTTTTGTTTAAATATCTCTCCTGTTTTCCTTGTAACAACAGACATATTGATACGGGTGTCAAAAATCTGGCGAGCGACTTCTGTCAACATCCCTACATAATATAATGACAATCATGATGTATTAATTATTGGCTCCTAAGAAATTTGAAAAAATGAACAAATCTGTTGGTACTTTCATTTATTAAAATGAAATGGGTTAAATGAAATGCAAAATATCTTAAATAGAACTTTAACTTCACTCTTATATTGCACTAGGATATAAACACTTTTTAATGCTTCAACTTAAGTGCATTTTCATTTTGCATACAAGTATTTTTCTGTAACTTACATATTTTAAAATGTAAGTGCTTGTTGATATTTTAAAGTTATTATGGAAAGGTACTGTCAATGACGATAAAATAAAAGAAACAAAGTTGTTACTAACACAAACAGGCATTTACAAAGGGATGTGATCTTAAAAGTATTCTCGTTTCTTACACAAAATAAACATCACTGCTTTTGTCAGCATTATTAACCAACCATTTAAGACGTACATAGAAATAAATAATTATTTGGAATTCGATTTCAGAATGACGACATTGGATTATTTACCAATGGCGGCCGGATACATTCCTGGGCGGACGGTGAAAACGTGAACAAGCAGTTTCCCGTCCTTCTTTTCACACCTGAAATCAATAGACAAAGACCAATAAATCAACCAAAGCATTCTTGAGCAAAAACAGTAATCACGTTCTCTGGAAAAAATTGGATGGGAAATTGGAACTTTATACGGTTTCTTAATATTGTGTATACTGCGTTTTTTCTCTCTCTGCACAGCAAGTTATTTATTAATACACTTTTTTGATTTGTTTGAATAAGTGTTCCATGATGATGTTAGATTTTCTTTAAAATTGATCTCAAATTGATCATTGATCTTACATGCGTTTTCAAAGTTGAATTATGTGCACTGAATTAAAATGCACAATTTGAGGTCTATTTTGTCAAAAATGCAGTAGTTTACGGACTGCGCATACCGAAAGTGCGGAGGGCGCATGCCTTTGTATGTAAGAGCCAAAAGAGAGTGCAGAAGGTCTAGATTCTGTACAAATGTGTGGAAATCTTTCCCAAGTGTCCGCAACATCCGGTCGTATCCTCGGCTGGTTGCGTAAAAATAAAAGTAATGTCCATACGATTCTAGCACACCACTTACATCTAAACCTGAAAAAAATAAATGTGAAGATAACGAACGGTGATCAAAAGTCCATTTAAACAATACAAATTATGAGCAGAGCCAACACGGACCTATGAGATGGGATCAGCTGCCATGAAGGAGTTAGCATTCCCTGTCGACCAGTCGAACCCTCCATGTGCTCCTTGTCATGATCGGGGAAACGCAAAAATAGACAATTCAGATGAAAATAATAACCTAACAATATGTATGAACAGTCAACAATCTACTTAACCTCAGATTATATTGTAATCTTCGACAGAAATCATAATATTACGAAATTTCGTCGAAAGTTAAATGATCGGGATTCCTTACATTTTGGCTCTTTCAAATAAGTGATTTAAGGTCATCATTGTTAACTACACAACTAGACTAAGAATTAAAACTAAGTTCTTTAATTCTAAAATGCCATTATAATTATGAACCTTGCAAACAAAGACGATATAGTTACAAGCCTAACCGGCTGGAACCTTAAAATATTTTTATGTAGTCTTTCTAATTCTTTGATCACCTCCAATTTAGTGAAAACAGAAGGACAGATGGTTCGCATATTGCCTTATAAACTTCTTACACGATTCTTTAATATATTTCTAAAACATTTTATTTATTCTGACAAAGAGTTTAGATCTTTCTTTTCATATTTAGGCCAACCTCTGGCATAATCTTCGACATAATTCATAATAGAAATGACGTTCTGTGGCCAATTGAAAGATTGGGGCTCCCTGAAAATGAAGACCTTTTAATATGATCGCTTTAAGGTCTTCATTTTCAACTATATTGACATCACCAGTAATGACGTCTCCAGCGGGTCTACAGTTGAAAGAAGAAGTTGAAATTTACAATGAAATATGAAGATATCGAATAGCTATTAAGTTCAAATGTCCATTGAGACAATATAAATTTGTAGCAGAGCAAACAAGGACCTCTTAAAACATCAGAGTTTGGATCAGGTCCCATGAAAGAGTAAGCATTCCCTGTCACACCCGTTGTGTGCTCTTTGTCATGATCGGGCAAACGGAAAAATCTGTGGAAAATTCAGTGTGAAAATAACGGCCTAACAATTGTATGAAAAACTTCAGTCAGCATCCAATTTTGTATTTGCTGACAAGGTCATTGTATCGACCATAGAATTTGAGAAACATTAACTTTAAACGAGATTGTTGATATTTTTGTTTCATCAATTTATTTGTCAATAGCTTGCCTCGTTTTAGAAATTGTTCATACGAAGAACATGCTCTTGCGGATCGAATCAACTGGGAGAAATAAATTCCTTATGCAGATGATAATGGTATAATGCTTCATAAATAAGGAAAGTTGGCGAAAGAAAATTTGAGATCATCATGTTTTTCATAAAGTTTTATTACCATTAACGTCTTTTTCTAGTTAAATATCCAATTATACAGATGCGCCAGACGCTAAGGTGTGCTTTATTTCAAGTTCTAAGGAAACATAGAATCAAAGTAGGAATGAAAATGGATGTTGTTTATAAATAAACGTCGTCGATATATCTTAATGTTGAATTGAAGGCCACAGCAAGAGACTTCTTCTCATGTAGACGTTTTTGAATAAATTCTGCTTCATATGATCACAAAAATAGTCTCCTATTAACTGGGGTGCAATTGGTACCCATGGGGATTCTGACAGATTGTTAGACGACTTGATCTCCAAAAACTACAATCATTCAACTTGTTGTATGCGTTGTTAGATTTAGATCAAAATTGGCTATCAGACAACTGTACATACGTCAGAAGTTCAGTATTCTAAAGGAAGACAAATACTCAATCATGTTATAGGAAACTGGAGGCAGAACACGTTTCCTCAGACTTTTTAAACCCAAAATACTTTAACATCATTCAATTAATAAAAATATTGCAATGTAAAGATTATTCAGATGTTTAAATCTTTTAATATCACTTTGTTCTTACCGGTAATGTTAGAGATAGCTACCACCAAACTGATGGTTCTCTTGTCGTCATAGTAATGAAACAACATAAAATCGTTATCATCGTCCAGTGAGGCTTCATTTCTACAAAGGAAACATATACATAAGAAACAGTGAGAGTCATAACTTAAAATAAAGCGATCTTTCATTTGTACAATGTATGTTGCAGGATCATTTGTTGTCGTATATTTGCCAAAGTTGTATACACTTAGTCACTGAGGATTGTTTTAAAAATCCATATTGTCCAAAGTCATTTACATTGAATACTAGCCAAGTCAGAGAATTAGGAAATAAGAATAAGTCGAGCGTGCTGTGCATTTCACAAAACACCAAAACACATTTCCACTTTATTTTTTATTCATTAAAAACGTGTTTTATTTATGAAATGTTGTGTTTTGGAGATGACTGCTCACATCCAAACTAAGTTCAAAACTTATCGTAGTATTCTCAGTGACAAATTTAATATGAATTTTATTTATGGCAATTAAATAAAGCTTTTTTTTTTCCTTACAAAATAGCATCCCACGATTCTCTTCCATACTGCTCTATCACCATCTCCCGGAGACATAGGTGCACGTGTCCGTGCTGGAATAAAAAGAAACACATTTATAGTCTATCTACAAAGGTCGAGAAGGCTCATTCAATATTCGTATATATCCGCTAACAAACTCTCTAATCAAAGAATCCAGTCTGAATGGAGTAGGTGAACGGATCATAGATGTAATTTTAATTAGGTTAAACAGAACCTAAAGAAATCTCTTATTATTTGATCTAATGAAACGAGTCTGCCATCAATCCTCCGAGAATGATGACTTAAATAGGGTTATTGACTACGATCCTTTTTTCTACCTCGGTGTTCAGTTTACGAAGAATAGGAAAATTGCTTTTCTTAAGATCATATTTTTTTACAATGGTAAGAAGGATCATTGACATTGCAAAGCAAAAAAATTATATATAATAAAAATATCTCACCTTGGGTAGTAAAATAACATGATAAACATAAAAGATCTTTTTAATAGATATTTTATACATTATACAAAGGTATTCATTGTTTCCTTGAAATTCGAGTAATGTAATGATATCAATCTCAGAATACCCACAAAAGCATACTGAAAGCAAACTAATTGTCAAGATTTTAGGTTTCTGGGAATCTATCACTTTGAAAAGAAAACAAATTGGTATTTTTTTAAGTTTGTACTCCGGTTCGCTTTGTCTTTCAGCAACTGAAAACTGAAATTCCATAGAAACAGAGAATATTTGGGCCCTGTATGAGGTATATTTGAGATGTTCTTATCATTTATACTAACAGACTTACTAAACAGTATCAATAAGACTACATGCTGCACAAATATTTACAGTATTTTGATTCATGTAAATAGCAAATACTCATTTGTTTGAAATTTTCATTCGTTTAATTTTTCTCCCACCCTCATAGGTTTTGTAAGTGTTTAGCTGACCAAAAGCTTAGAATTAATTTCAGCCAGCCTTATTAAAATGAGGACATTTCTTTTTAAAAAAAAAATTCAAAACCTCATAACAAAGCTACATTTCACATGCATAACATTAATACGTTAAGATTTGTATAAATTACATCTCAAAATAAAACATAGAGATACAAACTATGGATGTGTTTTTAAAAAGCAAATAAAAATGATACAAATTTATAACGTCAGTTTTGGAACATTCGCAAACAATAGAACAAGGGGTCTAAAATGATACCGGTATAATGAGTTAGTGTTTTTGTTTATTTATTAATAAAGAGGTATTTAGTACTAGCTGTAGTAGGGAAATCACTCTATCTAGCAAATGCAAGCTCATGCACGAAAACAAATCATAAAAAATATGTAATTTTCTTCTCCAAATTGTACATCCATTAATCGCTGACCAAATAATATTTCATTCTGACAAGATGCATTACATAATTGCAAACTTATCATGAATACAAGTCATTTTAGTGAGTTTTTATTCATCTTTATCTAGAAAAATTCACAACTTATATACATCTACATTATGAATCCTATATAAAGAAAGTACGAAAAAATCAATGCAATATTTCCACAATATTATTCCATTATTTTAAATTGATACTGTTATCATTACTTTCATATTTCTTTATTCAAATGGAAAATAATTTTTGTATGTCTATTTCCATTTATTTCCTATATAAGATAAACCTTATGCAATCCAAGTTGAATCAAACGACGAATAATCGTCAACTTGATTTCTTGTAAAATAACTACTACTCATTAATAATAGTATTTACATGTAACTTACCATGTTTGCCGACAAGGAGTGATTTCATGGAACAGATGTTATAAATCTCCAAAAGATTCCCATCCAATGATCCACATCTGAAGTGAGGTCAATATTTGAAGGTTATAAGATACGGGTCGCAGAAATCTAGCTGTTCAATTATTTGATTTATTTGTTAGACCTTTTAAGAATTCTTTTTTTAACAAACTTTGTACAATGTGTATTTTCCGTTATTAATGTTAAAGGTTTTTAATTCCCAGTGAAATGTAAAAATTTGTTGGTATTGCAAATTACGAAAAAAGATACAGAAGTACACAGCACAATACTTATGATTTTTTGAAAAAATATTTTACTTATAGGAATCACATTGATATGATGAATAGTAAGAACATTTTTCAGAATATGTTATCAAATGCACTAATTAAACCACCAAATATTTGATACAAATAGTATTTTTGGTGTGATCAATCGCGATAAATAATATCAATTTCACAAAACACCATATAGCTTATGCCAAGAATCAAACGACAAAACAGTGAAAATTGGTTAATATCTTAATAGATACACGCAATTTCATTCAATAGTACTAGGGAATTAATCCTGGCAATGACAAATCACACTAAAGAACTAATACATAATTGATCTGTGTGCCCAATCCTGCTCACACAATGATAATAATGTTAATAGCAATAATGGGCAAATTAAGTGGACATGGCGAAACAAACAAGAAAAATGGTCATAATAAATCTCCCCACCATATTTAATGAGTAAACATTTCAATTAAACGAGATACAAATCAATGTTAATATTGATTTCATTTAGCGTGATGCAATCATAAAACGAAGAGATAAAATTTATGTAAGATTTCAAATTAGTTTCTCCTCACAAACAGTTAAGGAAGTCTGTTTCTAAATTGTTTCTGTTTATTTCAGTTTAAAAAAGAAGCAGGGCTTTAATGCATGAATAAATGAATGAATCAAAATAGAGTAACAACACTAAGACTACTTACCATGTTTTCAAATCTTATTAATAAAAAAAAACTCCTGTAGGAATATTGTCTGTGCTCTCTGTGAGTAGAATCATCAGATGCTGTACTGTGTATTTTAGAATGGTATCAGATAAGTGGCTGATTATTCTAACACATATAGTCAGTATTGATGTCTAAGGGCGTGACTCTAGCTGCCTGTTGTCTCTCATATATTCTCATCTATTCAAAGAGACTTTTGTATGCATCATTTCTGAAATATATCAAAAATGGAAGAGAATGACAATCTTAAAGATATACATAGAGTGTGAGTTTTACCTGAATATCTAAAAGAAAAGCAGTGGATTTAAAGCAGAATAAACAATGATATGATAAATAATTATAATGAAACTCAAAGGACAAGTTCTATATGCTGGAATACGTAAGAGATATCAATCGTTATCAAGGATCTCTGTTCATCTATAGAAATGTTCTAATTAAGTGTTACTTAGGAAAAAAATTCTCTAGAAAAAAAAAACAAACACTATAAAAGACAAGCCTGGAATTTTTATGAAAATCATTTTAGTACATTTAACACCCTCTTTTTGCCATGACCTTTGGCTTATATCTGATCCCCTGTTTCTGAAAATAGGGATAATGCAAATACATGTACACGTAGTCTCAAACCAAAATTATAAACGAGAATCATTTACCAAGAGAAGAGATCTTGTCAATTTTGCTGTGATTTAGTGTTATGATAGCACACACACACACACACACACACACACAGGAAAAAATAAGCAAACAAGCAAAATAAACACACACACACACACACACACACACAGAGAGAGAGAGAGAGAGAGAGAGGAAAAAATAAGCAAACAAGCAAAATAAAAAAATTAAACTCTGAGACTTAAAACTAAACTTCAGCCTATATTACGAAAATATTCTCAGGTAAAGGTCTAACTTAAGGCATTAATATACACTGTACCTCCATTGTTAACAGATGATCATTTTAGCCAAAAGAGGTTTATAATGAAAAATAAGCTATATAAAAGATTCCTGGGGCAAAAAAGGACTAAAATTAAAATCAGTATTAAGTTCAGAGATATTTTACGGAAACATACTGTCATTTTTTGCTATTTTTTTTTTCCAGCAGAGGTTTCAGTTTCCTGTATATTATATAAAGCAATAACATTTTGTTGTTGTTGTTGTGACCTCGGTATATCCAGACTTTATTTCTTGCATCTTTAATTTAAAGCTGACTATGTTAAAAAGGCTTTATATGGTCAAATGGTAGTGAAATATATCTGCATCGTCAGAAACACTTACTTAAGTGTAGTAAGAGGAGATACATTCATTCCAATTGTATTTAAGGAAAAATCAATAATGCTGAAATATGAAGTTTTTAAATTTTGAATAGAGGGGATGAAGCAGCAACTGGCCAGAGAGGCAAAGTAAATGTCCAAAGTAACCAAAGGTGGATATAAAACATGACATCAGGCATTACTTACTTTGAGTAAATCTTGATATATATAATTCATAAGACAATATGAGCTTTGTTGAAGAATAAATTTTGTTCTTCTAGAGTAACGTTCCTTTATTCTTAATCTTAATAACAGAATTGAGATAGTAACCTGAAAAGTTTTTAAAAAGTATTTTCAAACATAAAATTAGTCACCCTATTTTGAAAGGAGTAATATATTAAGTTAAATGAGTTCACGTGAAAATTGCACTTCATCACCCAAGAAGTATCGAGTAGATGTACTTATTAGTATATGTCATCTAACTGCATAATTTGAAGTATGGGGTATAGGAAAATTATTGTGCCTAACTTGTTTTGAATTTTCAGTCGATGAAATTTACATCCTGGTATTGAAAATGGCATCCTTGTACTAACGACATTTGTATAAGAGTATTACATAAAAGTACAACGATTAACAGAGAAATATATTACACGTCAATGGCATTAAGCGTAATTAGGAATCTGTTCAAAATATCCATGTTCCTTGCATAATAATTAATTTGTAACATGAAGCAGTCAGTCATCCAATGGCTATCCAGGCTCGCTGCACATGTACATTACCTATGACACCTTTCACAAAGGAATATTATCTTTTACTTCAGGACCTTGACCTAGAATTTTCACATACTTAACAAAAATTTTAACTTTGGCCATATTTTTGCGCCCGGAGAGATAGGGCCTTCACATTTTTTTTCACATGTGCATTAATTGTAACAAGAGTGCTACAATATGCCACAAGTTAAATTGATATAAAGCCTCAAATCATTCACAAAAATAGATTAATTTAAGCATTTTATGGTATTCCCACAAGATCGAGTCCAAAGAAAAAATAGAAAAAGTATATGGTATATTTTTTTGCAAACTGTACAACTGTCTTGCTTTTCTGTATTAAGTTAAAGATATTTTACGGAAACATACTTTCACGTTTTGCTATTTTTTTCCAGCAGAGGTTTCAATTTTTTTGGATACACTATTTTTTTGCATATTTGACGTCATGTGTTTAAATCTTTTAGCATGTTAAATCTGTTTAAGATTCAATTTATAGATGTAAAATGCATACTTTTTTCCCAATTTCACCAAGGGTTCCACAAAAGATATTTGACAACAAAAATTGTTAAAGGAAAAAAATAAGGAAGAAAAATCTTGTATTACACTTAAAGAAATAAAGTCACCATCTACATTTGTATATGTTACAAGCAGGCTAAAATGAAACTTACAGTAACACAGAATGGTCCTAGATTTCTGAATCTCTCAGAGTAATGCGTTATTACTCGTTTTATCCTAGCAGTATTATATATGAATCTTATTAAACAGAGCAACTAAAAAAGTCGTGTAGAATTTCCATCTGTATATATAACAAACGGAATTCCTGAACATGTATAACGGAATATCTTCCCTGATCGATGCATTATATAGCTCATGGGAAAATATAATTTCTCTGAATATATATATATATATATATATATATATATATATATATATATATATATATATATATATATATATATATATATATATATATATATATATATGAGGGATGGCAATTTGTAACCGGTTAACCGATTACTCGGTCGGAACGATAGCAATCGATTAGAAAATCTGTAATCGGTTAATCGGAAAAAATAAAATATTTGTTAAATTGAACACATTTTAAAAAAAAAAAAATATTTGAAGTATTTAAAAAAAAAGAAGAAATCTCTGCACAAAGGATTATCCTTTAGGATAAAAAGGACCTAATTTGGAAGTACATGTAATTATGAATCTCCAGATTGAGGCCGTTGCGTAATTGGTCAGTTTATATAGTGTTAATTACTGTGAAAACACCATGTAGTTAACCCGACGGTCCTGTAATTCTTTAATGATAATAATTGAATCATTGAGCATTGTGAATTGGTGTGTATGTCGTTTTCAGCTTTTAAATCAATTATTAAACAAACATTGTAAATCAAGGGCTATAGAGTTCACATGTAGTTTTTATTATCATAATGAATTAAAATCCAGAAAGAACTTATGTGACATCTGCTCTGGAAAATTATCAAAGATTTCTTAGGCTTTTTCATGGTTTTCTCAATTTTTTTCCCCTACTAAAATTTAAATAAAAAATATGTACCCGTATTTTTCTGATCCAGAATCAAGACTAATGGAATGTTTTAACTTCTAAATTGGGTCTATTTGTGCATACGTACAGAGCTACTTGAAAAACAATTGTCAAGAAAACGTGCATTTTGATACGATTAACCGGTCGGAACGTCTTGCGGTTAACCGATTAGCAATTCTGTAATCGATTGCCATCCCTCATATATATATATATATATATATATATATATATATATATATATATATATATATATATATATATATATATAATCATAAAAGAAAAAGAAAATGCACAGTTTCCAAATTTCATTTAAATGAAATTTGGAAACTGTGCATTTTCTTTTTCTTTTATGATTATTTTTACTGTGTGACATCATCTTTTAACTACTTTTGAATTTTATATATATATATATATATATATATATATATATATATATATATATATATATATATATATATATATATATATAT